CTGTGATAGTCTCAGAAGTGACTGCTCCCTAGATTCATGGTTCTCAAAGTGTGGTACCCAGACAAGCAACATTAACATCACTTGGAAACTTGCTAGAAATGCAAATTCCTGGTCTGTCTTAGCCCTAGCCACTCAGAAACTGTATATCTGAACAAGTTACCCAGTTGATTCTGATGCATGTTAAAGTTTGAGAACCCCTGATGTAGACCTTACCTTTACAATCATCATACACACCCCAGAATCTGTAAAGATGCTGGGAAAAATCTGTGTCCATGATACGAGGTTTCAAGAGCTTCAAGCTTTTCTCCCAGGTGACTCCACTCCCTCTCCACCCTCTTCCTGCCTTTAATTTTAGAACTTTACATGTTGTCCCCTGTGCACTCCCTATACTTCCCACATCTTCCACATTCTTGTTTATTTTCTGGCTTTATTCATCCACACTCAGTGGAAGCCTATGCATTCTTTCAGTTCCAGCCAAACACCGTCTGCTCTGTGCTGTGTTCCCCTGTCACCCTGCTGGGAAAGCACCTTTTCCTGCATGTGCTCAGTTTTGGTCACACTGTGCTAAAGCAGTGGTTCTCCCTGGAGCCGACTTTGCTCCCCAGGGTACATTTGGCAATGTCTGGAAAGAGTTTTGATTGCCACAGCTGTAGGTGGTGATGTCCTAGGCATCCAGTGGGTAGAAGCCAGGGATGCTGGTATCTTATAACACACCTCACCTCACCCCTGCACCCCTAAAATTATTCAGCCCCAAAAGCCAGTAGTGCATTAGTGAAGAAACTCTGCTTTACAGGAATCTGTGTATCTTCTGTCTTCACAAATGACTGTTGGTACTACCCTGAGGTGATGTCTCTTGTTATGCAAGCTCCTTCTAGTAGAGCATCAAGCACTCATCAATACTTTGTCTTCATTTTATTGAGGAGCTGATCAATCAAATATTGAAGACATTTTTAATGTGTGATGCTAATATGGGCATTGTTGCAGCTAATGCCAAGAATTCCACTGTCTTAACTGAGGCTGCCTGTCCTAATGTGCTCAGGGAATTGAGAGTGGAGTTTGTTTTTTAACTACTTCATTCTCTGTGGCTGCTGGGACATTAGTGGCAGCTCGGTTACGTACTACTGCACGGATGGAGAGACTGGGGTCAAGTGCCTGCTTTGCCAGGTCTGAAGTGTGTCCTTGCTCTTTCGTCTGGGAAAGAACACGAGTTATCGCTCAGGAGAGTTATGGTTGTTTGTAAGTAACTGGAGGTCTTGGTCTCTTGACTTCATAAGGCCAAGGATTGTCTGGCACACCCTGGAATATTCTTCTCATTTAATTCTACAGGTTATATAAAACTACATATGGCAGAGATAAGGGTATGTGCATAAGTCTTGCTCCAAGAGCCCTCTTGGAGGGATGGAGACCTGCGCGCTTTAATGAAGATCCTGGACTGAGACACACCTCTCTTCCTCTGAAGGGACAGAATCGCAGGGCCCAGGGAAATCGGTTCTGGTTGCTGAATAAAGTCTTAGTGACTCAAATCCAGTTCTCTGAGCACTCGCAAGGCAGTTCACTTGTGCAAAACCCTTCGGGCAAACTGAATTTCAGAATTTGTACATTTTAGAAGGTAATTCCCCTAAATCCCATACACCCCAGCTCCACCTGGGTAGCGTCTGGTAAACCACACACCTTATGTATGAGAAACCGCTAAGGAGTCACTCCAGGGGGATAAACAAAAACAATTATGAGATTCGCTTCAGTTCAGGTCAGGCTTTGCAGTCATGCTACTCAGGAAATAACATTTTGGTTTTAGAGATTTGGGGGTTTTAGAGAGATCCAGGGTTACTGAGACAAGGGGAGGAAAGGATGGAGAAAGGTTTGGCTTTGATTAGATGAGTTTTGGCTGTAATGTATCCTGAGGCCAGTCTGAAACTTGAATGTTCAGGTGCTGAGGAGGGCCAGCAGGGTCTCCTGGGGAGCCTCTGAGCAGAACATCTCTGGGGGTCAGCAGGTGCTGGGGTGTAGGTGGCAGACCTCTGGGGCACACGCTGCATCCCCCATTTCTGGGTTCATTTTTTCTCATTGTCATAAGAGGTTTCTGAGTGGCTCTTTGGTCTTGAGACAAAGGCCAGGCTGGCGAGTTAGGTTTCCATTAATCAACCGACCACAGCCTTTCTTCTTCCTGTGCTGAGTGGCATTCTCTCCAGCTGGGTTGAGGAGAGACATCTGCAGCCTGGATGGAGCCTCTTGTAACTGGTGCTGTCTCAGCCAGAGTCACTTTCTAACTGCACACCTAACAATGAAAACCGTGTCTTTGGCAGCCAGTGCTCATTCAGGGGCTTGGTCCCCAAGGATCGGACACAATCAGACACTAACGAAGAGCTGAAGTAAGTGAAACAAACAGGCCAAATAAGCTGGATATATGTGTATTTAAATGCTGCTTTTTTTCCTAAACAGTAGCTTCCCATTATGACTTTTATTAATATTAAATGTGTCATCCTTGGTTACTCTTGACCCAGTTATCACCAAATACGATGTGACATCTCATGTCACCCTAATTCTTATGAACCTGCCTGATATTTCATTGTCTAACTCATGACTAATAGTGTGGATTGAAGCATTTATGTGTGTGATAGCAAAATTGAATATTAAAAGATTGTATTTTTAAGTGCTTTTACTTAGGGTGATATAATTTAAATGTTCCTGCATCAGTCTCTGGTGATCAAAACTCTCAAGTGAAATAAATGGGTCAGGTCTGCTTTCCATAAATAATGTCTGGGTTTTACAACTTATTTAATGCATTGGGGGTATGTGTGGTCCACCATAAGGACTGAGGAAAATTTTCTAGTTTCTTTTCTTCTTTCCTCTGAAAAACATCATTCCTACCTCAGGAGCGAATCCAAGATCTGGAGGCTCTCTTGTAGATCCAAGAGGCAGCTACCTGGGGGTCTGGGGGCTGAGAGGGGTTCACACTTGGTCACATCAGCACAATGAAAGCAAAAACAAAGGTTCTTGCTACTTGGGGCTTTTATCCACTACACCCCATGTTACAAACAATAAATAATCAGCTGATCAAACTTTACTGTCAAGGGAGCCAGTGGGGGCTTTAGCCCATTTCAGATAAAACTTCATCTATCAATCACCTTTTATATCTATATCTATGTTTATCTTATCATCTACATCTGTCTAGCCACCTACCTACCTACCTACCTACCTACCTACCTACCTACCTACCAACCTATTATCTGCCTCTATCATCCATCCATCATTCATCTAAATAATCTATATCTATCATCTATCAATCATTTCTCACTCTCTCCCTATTTACCTGTGTGTATGTGTGTGTGGGGGTATGAAAAGGAAAAAGGGATTGGCTTCAATAACTACAAACACTTATGTTTCTTTCTTCTACCTCTACCTCTGATGCCAGAGGCTCCTGGCAGAATTAGTTCATCCCAGCAGGGCACAATGTGCTCTCAAAAATTGTCGGCAGCAGAGACATCCTTGGTCTTTAAGGGCCACAACTGTAGGGCATGCTGGACTCAAAAGCATAAAGGAAATGTACAGTTCCTGCGAGGAGAAAGACTTCGGAGTATACGCATTAATTTCTCCCTATGGCACTCAAGCCCAGAAATGAGTCCTATTGATCACTTTGGAAAAGTTAAACTAGCTATTAGGTTATGGCTAAGTCATGTCTACAGCATAGTCTCTGCCTTGATGAGCTTGGGTATTTCATTTTATGACACAGATGAAGTAGAAACATTGCCCCTGATGCTACATATTTTTCTCTCTCTATCGGAGCTGGAGCATTCCTGTGAGGGAACCCAGAAATGTGGTGTCCTACAGCAAACAGTGCAACAGGCTCCAACTTGCAGGACAATCATACGTGAATTTCTACTACTTTAGTCTGGAAGTTTTAGCATTTCATTTGCAAAAGTATGCATGAGCAAAGAATCTTTCAATATTGTTAATTTGGAGATGGAACAACGGATTTTAGACTTTGAGCTGAATTAAACTATGTAGCGTGAGGGGGAGCAAGATTTAAAGGAAGATGGCAGCCAATTTCTTTTGTTATTTAATTTTTTATTTTTCCAAGAACAGTTAACATTTACTAGGCACCTATTGGCCTCAGTCACTTGCATCTAAAGAGCAAAGCTAATTTACCCACAGCCCGTGTTCTTTTAAATGGTCAGCCTTATTTCTTAGGTCTGTTAACCACTATTCTAACATTAGCTCCAAGTTCAGTTTTAATAATCTAATCCATAATAGTCTACTGCTCGCTGCCATATGAACAAAAAAGTTTGAGGGGAATAAGGTGAGCAGTTTCCATTTTCTGTGGATACTTCAAGTAATTGGCCCCAAAGTGAACTTACTGAGTTGGTCATGGTTTACCATGTTCTGAGGGCATAAAATGTGGAAGGAAATGGACCTGTAGGAAGAATTGGTATCCAAGAATGTGTGAATGTGTGAAAATTCTTTAACTTCACTTCAACTGGCCTAATATCCTGAGTCACTAGATGGTCAGAAGAATAGATAGAAGACAAAAGGAACAAACGGATGTACATTCATACTAAAAACCAAAAACAAAGTTTGTACAAGATGAACAGCAAATGAAATAGCTTCTATCAAAATAAAATCTCACACAGGTCATTTTTGTACATACGTGGACATACACACACCCACACACGCACAGACACAGAGAGCAAGAATGTGTATTTTGTAAGAGAGGTCCTTGGAAATAGACATTCTTAGCAAATATGGATGACAGATCAATTGTAATTTATTTCTTTTAACACTGTATCATCATAAAGAAAACTGGTATAAATGAAAAAAATCTATTTCAAATATCTACATCTAAAATTTTAGGCAGTGAAAAAGCACTTCGTTGACAAGGAGAGTGGAATGATGTATGTTAATTGTCAGAAACTGCTGAATGCCTTTGCTTAGTTGCCACAAACAAATTCACATATCAGAACGAACAATACTGCTAAATATTCCTTTTTTCCCTTTTTTTTTTTTTTGTTAAAACGTACTGGGAGAAAGAAAAGAAAAGAAGAACTGGAAATCCATACATCTCTCAAAAGTCTGAAATTGAAGCAATATTTAGAACCATAGATGAGGAAACACTGCTGGCATTGGTGTAATATACACAATGCGCTTTTCTTCTTTAATCTGTAATGTACATCAAATACTTTACAACGATGCATTAACAAAAGGCAAGAAACATCTTGCTGTACAGAGGAACCCCAGTGCAACTTGAAGCCTAGAATCACAACGGATGGAGAGAGAAAACAAAGCATGAGAAGCCGTCCCTCTAACGTGTGTGAACTATGCCGCCTCTTGTGCTTCAGATAACCTCCCCGCCCCACCGCCCCACCGTCTCTTCTCTTGCCTTCAGCCACGTTCAGTTTAAAGCACTTTTATACTCTACAGCTCAAAACTAGAAAGGTGTTGCACAATGTCATGTTCAGGATCTCTTTAGCTTTCTATCGACTTCCGAGTTAACTTTTGATTCGTTTAGCTTTCTAAAATAGCTCTTAATATTTCCTTACTGGTTATCACAGCCTTCCTATGGGACAGGCTTTAACGAACTAAATTTGCAGGGGGAAAAAAAAGCAATGTCTCGTGGTATGCATGCACATGCACTGCTCCCGGCGCGCCTGCTGCTGCCCGCTCCTCACACCCAGGAGTCGGGGGAGGCGGGGTAGTGGCTCGTTTCATAGTTCAGTTCACTGTAGGGTCGGGCAGCTGAGTAGAAGTCGACATAGTTGCCGGTGGACTTGAGTCCCAGGTGCATGGTGTACTCACTGGCGGGAGGGCGGTGGTGGACCTGGTCCTCGAAGAAGGACTCGTCGTAGTTTCTCGTGGCATTCTGGAACGGCTGGTAGGTCTCGTAATCTTTTCTGCTGGGCTCCTGGGGGACAGGCTGTGCTGAAACCTGCACAGAAAAGAGGATCCACTTGGGTTGGTTCATATGCCCTTGATGCAACCTCTCCTCCCTCAAAGTGGGGCTGGGACCACCACCCAGACTTGGGGTGCTACGTATTTCTCCCAGTACTGCCGACCGAGGATTGCCTTCTTTTTAGAATCGGTTCCTGAGTGCACACCCACGTCATTTCAATCTTTTAGAAAAATTATTATTGTGGTGAAATACACATACATGAAATTACCATCTTAACCATTTTTAGATGTACAGTTCAGTGGCATTAAGTACATTCATAGCATTGTACAACCATCACCATCATCCGTTTCTAGAACATTTTGCCATCCCAAACAACACCTGTCTCCATTAAACATAATTCCCCATCTCCCTCCTCCCCCAAACCCATGGCAACCATCATTCTATTCTCTGTCTCTATGAATTTGACTATTCTAGGGGCCTCATATATGCACAATATTGGTTTTTTTTCTGTCTGGCTTCTTCCACTCAGCACAATGTCTTCGTCATTCACCCATGTTGTACCATGGGACAGGGTTAAGGCTGAGTAACATTCCATTGAATGAATATACTACATTTTGTTTTCTCCATTTATCTGTTGATGACACCTGGGTTGTTTCTGTCCTTCGGCTAATGTGAGTCATGCTGCCATGGACATGGGTAAACCTGTATCTGTTTGACCCTTGCTTTCAATTTTGGGGGGTATGTACTTAGAAGTGGCATCATTAGATCTTATAATTCTGTGTTGAGCTTTTCAAGGAGTTGCCAAACTGTCACAATGGTTAAACCATTTTACTAAGGAACCTTTTTTTAAATCAAAGAGGTACAGACTAGAAGCTGTAGAATACAAGCAATTTATTTTCTTCTCTCTTGCATTTTCTTGGTTGCAATTTCAGACAAAGAGAAAGTGAGGACGTACAAGGTCCAGTGGTCACTCGGGTATCTTCCTGCCAGCATAGAGGGCTGTGATCAATACCTCTCTGGAGGACAGGCTTCCCAGTGGCAGTGCCATTCCAAAACATCTGCCTAAGTGACCAGGCACTACATCCTTAGAAGAGCACACAGAGAAGCATATGCCACACTCTAGAGGACCAAAATATTTCCTAAGTTGCTATATACAATTAAGAATTGGTTGAGTTTGACAAAGCTGTGGGACTGTGAAGCCTTGAGTTAGGGGGAGGTGTCTGCTGTCCCCCAGCCCATCTCAGGACTCCCTGTTTGCACTT